TTTTTTTTTTTTTTTTTTGGTGGTACCAGGAATCAAACTCGGGACTGCGGCAAGGCAGGCAGCAGCACCATGGAGCTAAATCCCCGACTCATATAAGGAAGCAAGTTTTTGCAGAACCACTGAGCTAAATCCCCAGCCCGATACTGAATTGAGATGGGTGACGTGAAAGCATGGGAAAAATTACTTAAAAATCTCAAAGGATACTGCACCCATTGCTTTACAAATATTTCTATGTTCTCACTCTACTTAAAAAAAATGGAAATTGAAATCATATAGGCATTATAGAAGAAAATGCTGAACATCAGAATATCAATGAATGGATGTACATTTTATGCTGCAAATTGAAATAAAATGTTTATAAATGTGTGTGTCATTTTTAATGGCTCCTTCCCTTTAAAGATGTATATTTGTAAATTAACCCCATACCATTGGTCTTGATTTAGCTGGATGAAATGGATTTTGCTGTCGCTGGCTAATGTGTTCTAAGCAGACAGATTCATTCCCACCTCTTTTTTCCACTGCTTGTCTCTCTCATTTCATAATCCACTCCTTTAGCCTCTTAACAAAGTCATAGAGAATAAATATCAGTTCTGTGTTCAGAGCCTATGTTCTTTATACTTTTCTATATTGTCTCTGTTTGGAGTCATACAACATCTTATTTGGTTGTCTCTTGCTGTATTTGTTATTCATGCTGCTTAGAAGCCTTTCCCACCTCACGCCCTGAGGTGGTGTAAGTTCTCAAAGGAGAGAGGCAATTACAACCCAACAGGTACTGTAAAGGCATTTAAAGAATGCTGCTCATTCTGCAGTTACTGACATGGCTAACAACACAGGTAAAGATGCTGATGTTTAACCTCAGAAGCAGACAGAGAAGGCTTTCCCTTCCTTTCCAGTCTCTTAAGACCAACACACCATCATCATCACCATCACCATCTCACTGGATTCAGCATCCACCTGGGAGATGTCCAGGTATATAAACAGGGAGTTTAAATGACTTTCCCAAGGTCAAAGACAAATCTGTGACTATTAGCCAAGTCCATTTCATTTTCTAACAAGCCAACTGTTCTCCCAACCAAATTTAAGATTCACGATTCTCAGACATTTTTCTGGCATAAGGCACATGGTATGATAGATAGTGTTTCTATGTGAAATACCCTCTGATTCTGATGATACTTGAAAAATTAAAATTTTTGACCTATGGGGGCAGAGCCCACAAGTTATCCACCAAAAATGCTTTCTTGCCTTCCTTCCTCGGTTATAGAACTCCCAGCTTCTTTTACAACTAGATCTGGCCGTATGACTGAGTGCTGGCCAATAAGATGTGAGCAGAGTGAGCAGAAAGTCCTAGAAAATTTCATAAGGGATGCTGATCCAGCTGGAAGGAGGAACCTTTTGCCTAAACCCAACTGTTTGTAGGCCCCTGTTTGTACTTTCTGGAGTGCAGGTGGAAGGCAGGAATCCATTGTAGCATTTAATGACTGTGAAGATGGAGGCAAGAGCTAAGATAATGGGGCAGACACAGAGAAGATCTGGGTGTTTTGACAGGACAGCCACTGCACCAATGATTTGGGAGGTGGGAGTAGTATCATTTCACATGTGCCCATGACCTAGATCCAAATGCTATGACAAGGAGAGGAGGAACAAGGGGCTGTTTCTTTGGGCCTGTTGATGATTGGGACCAAAGAAAGCCAGTGTGGGGCATGAGGAACAGAATATCTCACAGACCTGGAGGGAGATATCCTCATTTACCCTGCCTCTGTCTAGTACCTGCCATATCCTAGTGAATGAGGGCCTGAGGCACCACAGGGCCTTTGAATACTCCAGGTTTGTACAGCTTTGGGGGCATCCTGGCCTACCCCTGCCCTATGTCCTCGGGAGGTCAGCAAGACTGCACAGGACTCCTGAGGGAGAGACAGTGGGGCCTTCCTGCTTCAAGCAGCACTGAGGGCAACAACATTAACCACAGAGCTCGAAGCAGAGGAAACTGGGGTGCTCAGGGTATCCCAGATCATTTAGGTAGGACATCTGACTGTGAGACTTGAGTTGTGACCTCAGTTGTACACTCAGGCTGGAGAACTTAGGGTCAAGTCACACAAGCAGGTGACACACACAGGTGATAGGGTGTCCAAAAAGGCTGTGTTATTTTAGGAGGAACCCATCCTCCACACTGGCTCCACCTGTCTGCTTCTTTCAGACTGACCTGCCATGGGGAAATTCAGACCATTGGTTCATTTCTTCTTTCTTCTCAACTTCAAGGATCAAATTTTCTGGAGAGCAGAGGTTAGAGGACTTTCCAGGCTAGAAGAGAAAGGAACAGATAAGGGTGGGAACCCATGATCACACTGACAGCAGGGAATGAGGACTGCCGGTTGGTTACATGGGTTTTCTGTGCTTGAACAAAATTCAAGCTGACTGAATCAGTTTGATAAAAAGAGCATTTTTCCCTAAGCTCTAACTCATATGTGATATTTTCCAGGTGAATGCTTTTCTGCAACCAGTCAACTTATTTTCTCTGTGGTTGTTTTTGATCTGCTGGCATCCTGGAAGAATCGCTACTGACATCCAGAATCCAATCAATGCATTCAGTTTTTATGAAACAGACATTTGGAGAAACATACAAGTCTTAAAGCTGGAATGAAAACATAGAGATAATAAAATCCCACCTATCATTTTATAGCACAACAGAAATGAATGTTAGGAGGTCACACGGCTTATTACGGTAAACTTGAGTGTGGAACCCAGGAAACCCTAACTCACAGTGATGAGACATTTTATTCTTCAATTTTATATCTAGATTCTCATTGACTCAGATATACTAGTAAAGGCTCAGGTTTATGTTTTCTGTGTAGTTTTATTGGAAGAAATTTAAGCTGTTTTCTGATGTACTTGCAGTCAAATTGGACAGAAAAATAAGCATAGTTTCGCCCTATGGTTTCCTTACACAGATCAAGGTCACCCATGAAGACTTTGCTCACCCCATTTGAAGCATCTTATAAATTATAGTATTCCACACTCCTTCTCCATGCCTTCTTCCTCATTTCTCTCCTCCTCCTCCTACCTCACCTTCCTGAGCGTCCTCCTCCCTGCATTTGCACTTGCAATCTGACCTCTTCCTAGGTCTGCCTTGGAATGTAACATTCAACTGGGGTTTTTTATTTCCATCAGCACATTTTCCATGATATTCTTTCCTTCCTCTCTTCCCACTTCTCCCTGAGCTTTTGTTTTTCAAATTAAGGAACTATCAAAATTAATGAACACATTTGCTCTATCTATGTGAAATGAATACTGAAATTACTGCATTTCTAAATTAGCCACATGTTCTGAATCTCCTGAGTGTTACCACAGTTGCTGCTTGATAACCTTGGGAACAAGATCACAGAGATGCAGGAGGTTTGGATGAGAGAGGAGCTTTTCCTGATCTGTGTTTGCCTGATTCCTTTATTTTCTATTTTGAACATGTGCAGGCCTCTAAGCCAGAGGCAGTGACTAGGTTACACTGTGTGATCAGTATTCTACAAGGCTGCCAAGGAAAAATCTAAGACACATGATTTTTCTGGCAGAGCAGGTGTTCTACTTTGAATTGTAACATAGCTGGTGAGCAATAGCTCATGAAATGACCTTCCTTTCCGTTCTTTAAAGGGCAAGCATTTCTTGGGAATCCATGTATTTCATGGAGTTCTAAATCAACACTGCATTGACAAGGGCCCCTCTCCAAATCTCTTGCTCTGACTTTGACTTTCACAGACTTGGGCACAAAGCTGATCATTTTTTTCCTTTTGTACTACAAGTTCAAATGCATCACTAAGCCGTGAGTGTGTGTGCTGCAGGCTGAATGTACAGGGCCTGTCCTTCTCAGACATGGGTTGAATGTGATTGCTGAGTCTCCTAGTATTCCAAGGCTGTAGACAACTGCCTTTTTGTTGGTCAGAATGAGGAAAATGCTGCTCAGCTCCTACCATCCCACAAGGTTAATACCCTCATTGTCCTGATTAATAACATGGGCTTGAGATGCAGGGAGCCCATGTTATTCCTGCATTGCCTGGGCTCTCTGGTCACACTTAGACTTTTTCAGGCTGTGCTTTCCATTCTATTGTTATTACCTGGAAGTTACAAAAGAAACACAGGTGAATTGGATGCACCTGCACCAACCTCAGCCCAGGTCTTCTCCTCCGTCACATCATCTGGCTTCTCCCTTCCTGCTGGGCACCCAGCAGGAGTTTCTCCTTCCAGAGTAGGGTGAGTAGGCATGCTCTGGGGATCTGTCAGAATTTCATAAGGGACCCTTGGGTGACTCCAAGATGAAGGAGTAAAAATATCCCAGGGGTTACTCTGCCCAAAGGTTCCTGGAAGAATAGAGACAAAGTAATAAATAATATGCACACAATGGAAGGTAACCTGTCTTCTAATCAGAGCAAAGCTCATTCCTAACCTCCCTTAAGTCTACTAGTGATGTTGCTTTATTCAAGCTAAGTTGTGTCCCTACAGTTCCATAAGAAACAATTTCAGAACAAGTGCCCCTGGAGACGGAAGCCTAGAATGTTCCCCACAAAATGTATCAAGGTGTTCATAGGTTACTCAATAAATATACTTAGAACTTGCAGGATAAATTCAAAATAGTTCCAGACCTACTTCAAGAAACATAAGCTACAGGACAAGATAACCGACTGCAACAAGTTTATAGTCTCTATGAGCAGGAGGTCAGACTATCCTGGTTACTCTGGCCCATACAAGCCAAGCCTTTGCCCAACATGCAGCTCTCCCACCAGTTCTGAATTGTCTCTACCAAGACATGATCCTCATGACTGGGCAATTCCTTACCAGACACTGCCTCAGTCCCACCAAGTTTTCCTAAGTTCAAATGTCTTCGCTTTGCTAATTTCAGGAGAAAATAAGCCACCTTTATTCTATGGACTGAATTATGTCTCCTCATTTCTATGTTGAAACCCGAACCTCCAGTGTGACTGTAGTTGGAAATAAGGTCAATAAGGAAGTGACTGAGATTAACTGAGGTTGTAAGAGCAGGGCCCTGATCCATTAGCATTATGGTTATTACAATAAAATACATCAGAGTGCACCCTATCCATCATGTGTGGACATAAGAAAGTGGCTATTTATGTCCAGGAAGAGAGCCCTCACCAGGTCCAACCTGCTGAGATCCTCACCTTGGACTTCTAGCCTCCAGAATAGACAGAAAATCTCTGTTAATTAAACTGCCCAATCTATGGCATTTGGTTATGGCATCCTGAGCAGCCCAACCCAGAGAAGTCATGGCTTCATGGAGGCCAGGTCCTTGACCCTGAACTGGGGCTGAGAGGGAGGCCGAGTGGGTGCTCCCTACCTATGTACACTCCATCCTTGGTCCACAGGCGCACTGTGCAATCAAGAGAAGATGACAGCAGAAAATTTTCTTCCTCTATCAGCTCCAGACTATGAGGTAAAAGGAGAAAAGAGAAACTTCCAGGCTGCTACTACATGAAAGAGACATTGGCTCAATATGTCAGCTCTAGTTTAACTTGGGCTGGAATATAGAAATCAGGTTCCTCTCCTGAATTCTTCTGGAAACCATTTTCCCTGCCTTCTGCCACACCACACTCCCTCCAAATGCCCCAACTTCAGCACCAAACATCAAATGAGAGATACTGGAAACCACCTTGTTGATGATCAGTCCCAGCAGAAGAAGATCAAGAGGCGAAGAACAATCTAGCAAGAGTTCAGGTCTCTCCCTTGGCATTGACTCCATTCAGCCCCAGCGAAATATCTTAAACCTACTAAGCTTCAAAACTTGTACTAAAATACGAGTTCAATTTGAGGAAAACCATAATCCATTTTTAAGAAAAAAACCGAAGATTTAAAATCTCTTCCTTTAGTACAGGTCTTGCTCTCATCAGGAACATAAATGAAATGCAGTTTTCCTCTTTTGACCAATTCACGGGGTTTTGAAAGAAGTGATTTGGGGGAATAATTATTTTCATTCTTTTACAAATACTTGAACAATAAAAATGATGGTACTCACGATGTCACTATGCTGACATGGGCCCTCCAGAAGGTCACATCTAAATAGAAAGGAAGCATGTCTGAGTAGGATGGGGAGTTAGCACACATGGTGACGTATGACTGTTCCTGCAGGGATGTGTGTGCACTGGATGCATGTCCAGCAGGCAGTGCCACAAGTCTTGCAGCATTAATTTCAGAAGTGATCACTGAATGCCCACTAGGACCATGTCCAAAGGCATATGAAACTGGAGCTGTGCAAGATACTTAATGCTATGATTCTCTTCCGTGCTTAGGGTCTGGTAAGCATGAAGAGAATGCAAGTAACCAAAAATGATTTTTAAAATAGCCTTGTAAAGGCTGCACTTCCTGTAATAGTTTGTATCATGACCCAGTTTGGTCTGAAGACCCATGGGTTAAAAGCTTGGCCTTCAATGTTGTGCTGTTGGGAGATGGTAGAAGATTTGAGAAGGGGAAGCTTGCTGGGAGGCATTAGGTCTTTGGGGACTGTAGCTTTGAAGGGGATTGTGGGACCCTGGTTTCAGTCTGTCTGTCTGTCTGTCTGTCTGTCCATCTGTCTCTTTCCTCCCTCCTTTACTCTCTCTCTCTCTCTCCCTTCTTTGCTGTGAGATGAATGGCTTTGCTCTCCCACATGTTCCTGCCATGATATGCTGCCACAGGCCCAAAGCGACAGGGTCAATTGGACTAAAAGCTCCAAAATTGTGAGCCAAACTCAACTTTTTCTCTTAATAAGTTGATCATCTCAGGTATTATAGATTCACATACTCCTAGTACCTAGAATAAAAACAAATACAAAGCACACCATTTTCATTTTTAAATTCTGATTTCTCTTCTTTGCAATTTAAACTTCTATGATTGTATAGGAAGTGGTGCATAAAGAGAAGTATGTGATTATTTACCTCTGAACTGGATTCCAGGAAGTATATCTGATGGAATATCATATGACAGTTTAAAAATGCAGTAAAGGGGGGCTGGGATTTATCTCAGTGATTCCACTGCCTGCCTTGTGAGCACAAGGTCCCGAGTTCGATCCCCAGTCCCCCCACAAAAATGAAATAAAGGCAAATATGCTTATTGGGAAAGTTGCCTAAGAGATACAAAGAAAAAATAAGTTCTGACTATTATGCATTTTCTTTGTGTGTTCATATATATTCATGTGAATATATTT